GTAGGGCTGCCATGATTAATCGATTAATCGACGACTAATCGATTATTAAATTAGTCATCGATTATTTTAATAATCGATTAGTCGTCGATTAATCGATTAATCATGGCAGCCCTACTCTTGGGTCACCTTCTGTTCAGTTCACTTTGGCTCAAACAGTGACCCAATAATGTACCTTGACCGAGTTCACCTTTAATTTTATTTGGAAGTTGTTCTGGGATCTTTGTTATCATTCATATTCTCCTTCTATTCAATTTGTCACCAATTTCCCTCCAGCAGCCATGGCCAGGGATGATATCTCCAGTCCTGTGGATAGTCTTATAACCTTTACCTTTAACATGCTTGTCAATAATTTTCTTTCTAGTCTCCTGTGACAACTCTCCTTGGCTTCCTGTGGCCCATGCTCAGTGTGACACACACCATGTCAAACAGCACAGTGACTACCTGTCACCCTTTAAATAGGCAGACTGCCTGATTACAAGCTTGAAGATACTTGTGATGCTAATTAGAGGACAAACGTTAGTTTAACATGTCCCTTTGGTCAAGTTATTCTCAATCTTTTCTCAAAAAGGTGCCATCACTTTTGTCCAGGCCYGTTTCATTAGTTTGTTCTTTAAAATAATTCTACTGAACCACAATTTAAAAGCTATGGGAGATTTTCATTGATTAATATTTTTGAAAAAAAAAATTTTTTTCATTCATTACTACCTTTGGCTGTTTCAAGTTATTTCTGTGACTATTGTGGGGTTTTCAGTCAATAACACTGGGGTAACAACAATTTTGTCCACTTATGTACAAGACTAAGCTTCTGGAGCTTCTCATAAAGGAGATTTAAGTTCTTAGTGAGGCAAGTTTGGGTTGAAATTCAGAATTTCAGTGTCAGAAATCACAATAAGGCATTAATTTTCAATGAAAGAAATTTGGTTTGAGATGAGATCAAGGCACATAAAAGTGGGACTTTCTAAATTACTAAATCTAGAAAATAAAAAGTAAAAAATATGTGAATATACAGAAATAGCCCAGGTTCTCTGGTTGCAGACGAAGCCTCTCCTGATAKATGGTATGAGGTGTTTGCACTCTGGCGATGTCTGTCCAAAGGACTTTGTTCTAGAGGTCTTGTGGTTCAATCAGATGCCATTTTGTTTTATATGAAGATGAAGATTTCTTATGTGAACMCTTTCAAACTAGCCACATTTGTTTCATCTGTTTCAAGCTGACCTTCAATATTTAACCATTTCTCYGAGTAMTGCATGGTCTGACCTTTGGGTGAATTTGGACATCCACTCAGAAACATAGGCTTAAATGTTTTCCACTGTGAATAACTTTCCTCTGTGTAGAACGACTGACACTTGAGTTGTTTGGAAATGACCTTTAATCCTTCCTAGATTGACGGGCATTAACGGTTGCTTCTCGAAGRTTACTGAGGTTTCCTGCTTGTCATTGTGCTAACACACCTGTGTACTCCAAAACAAAACTGCAGCTTTTATAAAGATGATCACATGGATGATGATCAGTTAATCAAGCACAGTTGATCAGCAGCACCTGACTTGATATTTGATCTTAAAGGCCGTGAAAGCAGGAAATGTAGACTTAATTTTTCATTTGGCTTATTTTTGTTTAATAAATACTGACATAGTGATGGTGTGGTGTTTATCATTTGATGTTAGAGTTAAATAATTTTAATATCTGACAGAAGTCAGATCATTCTTATGTTCTGATTGATAAAAGCCTAAAATTGACAAAACATGACTCCACATGTCCTCATGACAGATATGAATATACAGTGGTTTGCAAAAGTATTCATACCCCTTGAACTTTTCCATATTTTGTCACATTACAACCACAAACATAAATAT